AGGCTCTTCTCCAGGGAGTCCTTCCTTCTCATTAGGTGGCCAAAGTATTTGAGCTTCAGCTTCAGGATCTGGCCTTCTAAAGAGCAGTCAGGGTTGATCTCCTCTAGGACTGACCGGTTTGATCGCCTTGCGGTCCAAGGGACTCGCAGGAGTCTCCTCCAGCACCACAGTTCAAAGGCCTCTGTTCTTCGGTGCTCAGCCTTCCTTATGGTCCAGCTTTCACAGCCATACATTGCAACTGGGAAAACCATCGCCTTGACTACACGCACTTGTGTTGGCAGGGTGATGTCTCTGCTTTTTAGTATGCTGTCTTGATTTGCCATAGCTTTCCTCCCCAGGAGCGCCTTTTAATTTCTTCTTTCAGTCCCCATCTGTGGTGATCTTGGAGCCCAGGAAAATAAAATCTGCCAATAGCTCCATTTCTTCCCCATCTATTTGCCAGGAAGTGAGAGGACCGGATGCCATGATCTTAGTTTTCTTAATGTTGACTTTCAAGTCAGCTTTTGCGCTCTCTTCCTTCACCCGCATCACGAGGCTCTTTAGTTCCTCTTCACTTTCTGCCATGAGAGTGGTATCATCTGCATATCTGAGGTTGTTGATATTTCTCCTGGCAATCTTAATTCCAACTGGTGATTCATCTAGCCCCGCCTTTCTCATGATGTGTTCTGCATATGTAACTCATAACAGGCAGGGCGACAGTATACAGCCTTAGCAGCTGCAATTTAACAATTAGCCAGCAGAGGGAGCTCAAATTCAGATGAGTTCATAGTCAGATACGATTCCATTACGTAGCTTGTTTTGTCTATCGATGCTCTAGCGAGCTTTATCCGGAAGAGTTTAAAATGAGGTGGGGAGGGGGTTGAGGCCCCCCAGAAATGTGTCTGCACTGGACAAGTGTGGGGAGAGGACCAGGGCTCTGGGAGCAGGTTTTAGAGGCACTGCAGGGACTGACAGGACTCCTACAGAGAGGGGCCAGGTATCAGGGAGGATGGGAGGCAGGAGGAGGCTGGGGACTCCAAGGAAAGGGAGCGGTGGGAAGGAGTTGGGGTGCATGTGCACCAACGCTAGGAGCACGGGTAACCAGCAGGAAGAGCTGGAAGCTCTCCTGGGAATGGGAGGGTCTGACCTGGTGGGGATCTCAGAAACTTGGTGGGATGAAAGGCAAGACTGGTTTTGAGGTGGCTAGATGGAGGGGATGCAGTGGATGTGGTATACCTGGATTTCAGCAAGGCCTTTGACAAAGTGCCCCATGATATCCTGGTTGAGAAACTGAGGAGTTCTGAGATAGACCAATGCACTGTCCAATGGATTAGGGCATGGCTGACTGACCGAAAGCAGAGGGTAACCATTAGTGGGGAATCATCGGGATGGTGGCCAGTGACAAGCGGGGTTCCCCAGGGCTCTTTCCTGGGGCCGATCCTGTTTAATCTTTTCATCAATGACATGGAAGGAGTAAACAGTCTGCTGATCAAATTTGCAGACGATACTAAAACTGGAGCAGTGGCCACAACTGAGGAGCAGGTACTCCAGATCCAAAAGGCTCTGGACAGACCATGGAAGAGGGCAGGAGACAACAGGGTGGCATTCAATGTGGACAAGTGCAAGGTCTTGCACTTGGGGCATGGGAATGGGTGTCATAAGTACAGGTTAGGGGACAAGTGGCTGGAGAGCAGCACTTGTGAAAGGGACCTCGGGGTGCTGGTTGACTGCAGGCTGAACATGAGTCAGCAGTGTGATGCGGTGGCCAAGAGGGCGAACGCTACCCTTGGCTGCAAAGCCAGAAGTGTGGCTTCTAGATCGAGAGGGGTATTACTACCACTCTATATGACTCTGGTGTGCCCGCAACTGGAGTATTGTGTTCAGTTTTGGAGCCCTCATTACGGGAAGGATATAGCCAGGTTAGAGTCAGTAGGGCCGCAAGGTTGATGGCCGGTTTGCAGGGGATGCCGAATGAGGTGAGACTGAGGGAACTGGGTCTCTTCAGCCTGGAGAAGAGGAGACTCCGAGGGGATCAGTTGGCAACGTACAGGTACATGAGGGGGTATCACATGGAGGTGGGTAGAGACCTGTTCTCCCTGCAGAGGAGGGCAGAACACGCTCCAACGGAGCCAAGCTCAGGGAACAAAGATTCAGTTTAGATGCCAGGAAGCACTTCCTGACAGTGAGGGCCCCGAGGGTGTGGAATGGGCTTCCCCGGGAGGGGGTTGAGGCCCCATCGGTGCGGGTGTTCAAGGACAGGCTGGACATGCACATGGTGGGCATGTTGTGAGCAGTGCCGGCTGGAGCCGGGGGCCAGACTAGATGGCCTGGGAGACCCCTTCTGACTCACTCTGTTTCTATGTTTCCCCAAGAAGCTGCCATGGCTATTGTTTTGGTGATTAGTAAGAGCTGATAAGGCTGCTAGGTTAACAGCACTGCAATCTCCCTCACAGGCATGCCAAGATGCATAGTAATCCCTGTGCCTCAGTGGTCATTATGTTAACCTCCTGCCATCAAATGCCATTGTACCGAGCTCCCTCTGCAGACATCTCACCTTCTTCTGTTTGTGCTCCCCTTATTTCGTCATCAACTGCCCAGCTGCTGGGCCCATGTGCCTCCGAATCTACAAGACACTCTGCGTATGTTCTAAAAGCTTGTAGTTGGCGGTGGAGAACACGACCTGGGAGCACCGTGTCGAAGGCACTGCAGGGGGCCTGGGCGACCTCACCGATAAAAGTGCCGGTTCAAGGCGATTCCATCTTCACTGCGGGTCCTGGTGATTCAGCCTTGCTGTCTGGTAAGGGGGCCCTGACACCCTCCATCCTAAAAGGGTGGGACCTTCTCTCTCGGGGCTGGAAACGCATCTGGTGTGCTTTGTGCTTTGGCCGCAGCTGTTCTGTGCACTGATCCCAGCCACTCCGTGCGTGCCAGCCAAGCACTGCCCTAAATGCACTGGAGACCCCATTTTGTTAGTTAGCCTGATGAACTCTGACTTGCTCTTTAAAGCTGTCATGGCGAGGTTGTTCCCGCAGAAAGAAGCGCTCAGAGCTGTAGATCCTGTTGGTTATCGAAGCGCTTTTCCTCTGTGATTCTGTTTTCCTTTGGCTGCAAACTCAGTCACTGAAGGAGTGGGAATTTCCGCAGCTGCCACAAACCTACTTTGATTGCAAGAAATTGCATGCACGTGTATTTGTTTGGATGTACTTTCTTTTGGAGGGAAGTTGGCAGAATACAACATTCAACAAGTTGCAGGTCCTCTAGATCATGGGGTATAAGTGGGAAGTGGTTTCAATGTGACTTTTGCTATGGCCCACCGTAGAGGTTTTGGAGTGGCTGGGCCCACATCCGTGCACATGCACGGCGAGGCGCTGGCTTGCTCACGCGGAGATTGTTTTGGACTCACTTGGAGAAAACGATCACTGCCTGCCTCCCCATGCATGTGTGTGCGTGCATCCCCCCCCCCCCCCCCCCCCCCCCCCCCGCCAGCACTGCCTTGCTGGCCCACAATCACCGCCGGCACCTTTCAACTGGCCCCCTGTTGAAAAAGTTTGAGGACCCCGATGTAGACCATGGCTAAGTGCTGGTTGGCCTTGTCCTTGTGTCAGGCAGGACTGCTTCATGATTTGGTGGGAGACAAACCTGGGAAGGGCATATTATTATTCATGCATTATTACACTTATATCCCAACCTTTTCCCTTCTGAAAGGGAGCCAACAACCCTGGGAGACAGCTGAGGCTGTGAGTCAGGGTTTGGCCCAAAGTCACCCAGGGAGCTGCACGGCTGAGCGGAGACTTGAACCCGGCTCTCCCCAGTTCTAGTCCAACACTCTAGCCACTGCACTATAAAGGGGAAGGATGCTTTCATTGGATGATGTGACTTCTCCCAGCATCATCCTGGTGGAAGCACCCTGGAACCGAGAGGAGGAAAAAGACCACGAATTGCCTTAATGCTTCTGGTAGTCAAGGCATGGTGGTCAGTTGAAGCCAACAGTCCACCTCAGGCCACTGCCTAGAAGGATGTCCAAACCAAGGATGCTGAATTGTTGGAAGAAACAGAGTCCAGAGGGAGAAGCTGTTCTGGATCTGTGCCATCATGACAAGCCAGGAAGCACTGGGGCAACATCAGCCATTGAGCTCCTCAAATGGCCTCCAAGCATTGCTGAAACAACATCTCTCTTTGTCCCCTGCTTGCTGCACAGCTCCCTTGCTGATTTGTATTATTTCATCCTTGACTTCCAGGGACACCTCTGGAAAGACAGGATTCAATCCTGCTGGTAGGAATGGGGCATGGGTGACTGCCTCCCAGGATTCCGCTGCCCAGCGACACTCCCTTCAGGTCCTCAAACTGGACAGATAATGTGGACTGTGGACCAATTTCTGTGTTTGCGAACCAACACCAGGGCTAGGCCCAGCTTCGAATGCACCTGAGCCAGGACTTTCCCTATGTTGGTGGTCCCCACACACACGTCAGTGGGCCAGTTCCCCCATCAGTGGGTCACTGGCTGACTATTGTATAAAACACTCCGACAGTGGCATGGTGGGATGCTGAAAATGGTGGTCTCTAGAGCTGCCCCCCACCCACAAATCGTGGCTGTATCAGTGGACTGACCTTCTCCAAGTAGTTGAACTCCATGGCAATTTCCCGGAAGAAGAAATAGACGTGGCTTTTCCATTCCACGGTGTGGACAAAGTAAGGTTCTATATAGCATGGCAGGGAGAAAAAAGAAGAAAGAGGACACATTTAAACAAAATCTCAGCAGGGCCAAGGTTCAGAAGACTGACCTGTGACTGAGCAACAGAATCACCTATAGATTTCTTAATGAATAGCACTGCCCAAAGCCCAGCTGGCAAATGACCTCAGTGTATTTTAAAATCATAAAACCACACAACAGCTGGAGAATAATGCTCATCCGCATCTGAAGCAAAAATAAAAGTATAAAAATCATATGGACATGAAAGCATTTTAAATGTTTAAAACATTGGGCTGCCTTTCTGGTGGGCACAGCCTGGCCATGGGACAATCTCACCAAACAGCTGTTTTGTCTGACACCTTCTCTGTTGTTTTTTTGCTGGACCAAACCTCCTTATGCACCCACAGTTTGGATGGGTGAGGATTTTGTTTAGTACATTTCTTCTTAAGACTTTTCTAACTTTCGCAAGGCAGTTCATATTCAGGATTGGAAAAAAAAAAACCTTGAAAAGATGAATGTGGGAGAAAACCAAACCAAAAGATAGGATTTGAGTGCTTAGCTCTTGGTGAATATTTCTAAATATTTGGTCAAGTTTGAAGCACTCATTTTAGGTTCCCATCTCTTTTTTTCTTAAGAGGATCCTCATCAGAATACCTGAAAGGCAGGCAGGTGTGACAGAAACTTTTCTACACTCCTGTCAATTTTGGCCATGTGCAATTGGTGAGAATTCGGTTCAATTCAGGGCCTCTGGTGGTCTGATAACAGAGCTCAGGTAACAAGGAAATTGGTGAGCTAGTGGGCTGTCCTGGAGAAGCATTGGAGGGGAACTTGGGAGAGCTACGTTCTAGATCCCCCTCTGCTATGAAGCCTCCTGGGTGACTAGGACCACTCTTGGCTTAAGCTACCTTGCAGGGCTGTTGTGTGGATAAATAGGAGATGAGAAGTACCCTTTAAGCCTCCTTGGAAGAAGAAAAATTGGGGTATAAATGTAATAATACATTTTGTGGGTGTGTGTCGAGGGAGAGAGAGAAAGAAGAATGTGGGAAGACGCGAAAGGGAGGGGTGTGTACCTTTGAACCATTTGGAGTCGTGCTTGACGGTGCGCAGGGTCGGGCTGTCTCCGAGGCTGCGGTAAATTACCGCGTCGATGGCCAGGAAATCCGTCACCGTGGCGGTAAACAGCATCCCCCCTGTCACGAAGAGCGAGAGAGAGAGAAAGAGAGAGAGAGAGAGAGAGAGAGAGAGAGAGAGAGAGAGAGAAGGAGAGAAAAGGAGAAGAAGAATGGATGAGCTATGCCGGCACGGAGCGAAAGGCAGGGGAGGGGGTTGTAAAAAACATCACTGTGCAGATCTGGTGCTCAGCCCGTGGGACTTGAAATGGGAGAAGGAAAAGAGAAAGCAAGCAGGTTGTGTGACGCGGTGGGAGAGGGAGAAATGAGACGAGAGAAAGGTGGGTGGGTGGGCGGGTGGACAGCAGGGGCAGGAGGAGAGCGATGAGCAGGAAAAGGTGGAGAGAGAGAGAGAGAGAGAGAGAGGGAGGGAGAGAGAAAATTTGATAACAATTAAGGGCCAAACTTAAACTATACTCTAGTGCTGGGAGAAGGGAAGGGTCTTTGCTCTGACCCCGCTTTGCTCCTCTGAGGTCACTTGTCTTATCACCATGGGATGTGACTGAGCGGACCAGTGTGCCCATTTCGCAGAGGGATGACTGAGTCCAAGGGCTGAAGGGCTAAATGTAAATGATGTAGAAGGGGTGTGGAAGAAGGCACCCCAGATGCTCTCAGGGTGGCAGCAGCTCAAGACAGTGGGGACAGAAGGGCTACACCTCATGACAGAGGCGACACCCCTGTTACATCAGAGCTGAAGACGCAATCCACTGTTGCAAGCTTCATAGTTGCAAGGGTGCTTGATTCCAGTTAAGTTTGGTAGTAAATCCAGAACCTCCTGCCTGTTTCTGGCGCTCAGAGTTTCAGGGCTAGGCTGAGAACAGAAGTGCTGGCTTGGGACATGCTTCGGAGTCCCTGGCATGTCCCGGAAGGCCTGGCTCAGGCTGTGTTGGACCTATGGAGTCCCACGAACTGGGTGAACGCTTGGCCCCGCCAACCACCTGGGAGACGGGGCCGTGCCCTTCCCAGCTCCACTGGGTGAACCATTTGGGATAGGGTGGATTTGAAAAATGGTGATTGAGTGAATTAATAAAAGCATGCACACAGAAAACTATGAGGTGCACAGGTGGATCCATGGCGGTGGGGAGAGTGAATGGGGGGACCACGTTTTCCCTCTCTGATCCTCCTAGAAAGCAAGGGGGTCATCCCATGAAGCCAGTCCGTTGCAGATCCAGGCCAGATTAAAGGACGGAGCTGCTTCACCCAGCGCAAGGTTAAACACTTCCACAAGATTGCGGGGTGGGGGGGCTTCTAAAGGAGCTTGGAGAAATTCATGGCTATTCATGGCTACTGGTCCTCAAGACTCTGTGTGCCTCTGAAATCAGAAGCAGTGTGTCTGCTCTGTTTGTGTTCCGTGTTGTGTTTGTATTCTAAAGGCACCCTCCATTTTAAACGCATAGGGCATTTCTCCCACTGATGATAAAAATCCTAGTGTAGGAGCAGAACAGAACTGCAGAACAGGACCATTTATGTCCAACTTTAGGTTTTGAAGGAGATAACCTCTTGTCACATTCCTTTTCAACGGATTCATGGAGAAGATTATTTATGGCTACTAGTCCTCATGGTGCATGGCTGCCTCTGATAGCAGCAGCAGTGCACATATGCACATGCATTGCTGGGGAACATGGGCAAGAGGGTTCTTTCACTCTTCTGCCCTGCTTGTGGGTTAACTCTTGGGGGAACAGAAGGTTGGGCTGGATGGACCTGAATCTGGTCCTGCAAGTTCTTCACTGAAAAAATGGGAGCATTGGAAGGCAAAATGGAGCATTAGAAACTGTGTCTGTGTGGATTTAAAATCAGTAGGAGGCACTGTGTGGCAGGGGAAATGGTTTGCATCAGGAAGATCATTCTTCTCCTCTTGATGCCCGCCCCCTGCAAAGGGAAGCCCCCACTGCTGCGGATTGGTGCCTTTCCCACCCTGGGGTGACAGCAGGAGGAGCGGGCTAGTTTTGTCAGGATGGCAGTGGAGAAGAAAGAGTTAAGCAGGGTGGCTGGTGTTAGCGAGACTCATTTCGGGAGCTCTCCGTGGTACTGAATCCCATCTCCAAAGTAGGTTCACCACCTCAGAGCTCCTCGAAAGCTTACAATAAAAGCTGAAATGGCTAAGGAGGCCCCCAACACAGGAACCAGCAGCCCTCTGTAGCATTAGGTCTCATGTGTTCACCTGGATGAAAACTAACACCCCTCGCCAATTCATTCTGTACCCATCCAGATGTTTTGGGCACCAAATGCCAGCAGCAGCGAGCCAGGGATGTTAGGAAAAGCAGCCCAAAACATCTGGAAGGCATCACATCCAGGAGGGTTAATTATGTCCTGCAATCACTTCCAGGAAGGGTGAATTAGAACAACACAAACAGTTCCTGCGCATGGACTGAGCATTGCATTGGCGTTTTCCCCGTAGTGTTCAAAAGGAGACACACAAACACAGGAGTGAGCGAGAGATGGACAGAGAGGGCTTGCAAGACCAAAACTGCTAGAAAGGAAGGTCTGTTAGGAAAGAGGCAGTACAGGGGCTCAAGGGGAAATACCTTCTTTTCCAAGCAAACATGCACATTGAAGTTGCGGAAGTGTGAATAAGTGATTGCCGCCACTAGAACTGGGAAGGGGTCACTTGATCCAGAAGAAAATGCAGGTAGCAGTGAGGGAAGCCTGGAGCCTTCCCACTGGGACAGTTGGGGATAATGGTGGTTGTTGTACGATTCATCCGAAGGCAGTTAGATGGGGAAGGCTCAGTTAACATGTCAGGCTGGGATGGGGTCAGGGTGAGGGGAGACTCGAATTAAAATCCTCAGCTCCCATCCTGAGTGATAGGATGTGATCACTCAGCCTAACCTACCTCACAGGATTGTTGTGCAGGTAGAGGGAGGTAAAAAGCCCATTCTGCAGGTTGATCATGAAGATCCAGTATGTGAAGATACTAGCCCTTGCTGGTGAGAGTCTGCATTCCCTTGAGCTCGCTCGCTCGCTTGCTCATTTATTTATTATTTATTGTATTTCTTCACCGCCCATCAGCTCAGAGGCTTCCTGGGCAGTTTACAAACTGAGCTTTTGGGAAGGTGGCAGGAGTCTAACAGAATTAGGAATGATCAAGGGTGCATTTGTGCACATGTGAGGGCATGTGATGGGAGACAGTGTTGCATAGTGGTGAAAGCCTGGGATTGGGGCTTGGGAGAATTGGCTTCTAGACCTCCCTCAGCCATGACATTCACGGGGTGACTTTGGACCAGTCACTGACTCTTACCTAACCCACCTCACAGGGTTGTTGTGAGTATAAAATGCGGTGAAGAATTATGAAGTGGCCCTGAATTCCTTGTAAGAGGGAAAAAGGCAGGGTATTGATTAATAAATGATAGTAGCAGTAGTAATTAGAAGCTCCCTCCCCACCGCACTGACCTGTAAAAAGAGCGACATTGGCATGCTTTGGGTCGTAGGGGCACCGGGCCATTCCGCTGATGTTGTCCCCGATAAGTTCTAGAGCATTTATCTGACGGAAGGAGAAGGAGGTTAGAAGAATTTCAGCACTCCATAGAAGCTGGAGTCTCCAAGACCAGAGATGTGGGTTCTAGTCCCCAGCTGTCAGCTGCATTAACTCTAATTCGCAGCTCTTCTTTGGAAAGGCTTTTTGCTAGGGGGCAAAAAAATGCCAGGATAGAAGAACTTTTCCTAAATGGAAACAATAATCAATTTGTCTTGTGGATAGTTGTACACTGCCCAGAGAGTTTTGGCTGAGGGGTGGTAATAAATAGGAATAGTAGTAGTAAAAGAAGCCCTGGCTTTGGACTATGGCTGCCATCAGCCCTGATCCACATGGTTGGGGATGATGGGAACTGCAGTCCAAAACATCAGGACCCTGGTGTGCAGACATCAGAGGTTTAGCTCTTCTCCCTGCTCCCAATCCAGATGCAAATTCCCTCTCCTTCATCTGCTGTTAATCAATCAGGTTCCCTCAGGAAGGTTGCAGCTCCCATTAGCCCCATCCAGCATGGTGGAAGTTGTAGTCCAAAACATCAGTTTGCCAATCTCTGCTCATTTCCAGAATGGGCACTGGTTTGCCCACTGGGTGTTTCTGAAGTAGAGGAAAACACATTTGCTCTGTATTCTGCCTCCTATCACAAATGGGGACTGAGGGGTAAGGATCCTGTTTCCCCCCTTTACTCCACACCATGAATTCTCCGTGACTGCAGAGAAGTGGGATCAGATAAAAGGATAACCCTCCACTAGGGTTGAGTATGGTTAGTCCTTGAGCTGTGAGTCGTTGAAACAGTCAGTGGTTCTAGGAAAACCCACAGCCAACCCACATGAACAAACCATGGTTGGGTAACCACAAAAACCCATTAAGTCAGCTCAGGATTTGCTTTTGGGTTGTGAACTGTGGATTGTTCACCATGGTTTGTTATCTCAGCTGGGTCTGGACAACACAGTATCCCAAACCCAATATCATGGGTTCAGTGTAGGTCAGTGATGGTGAACCTATGACACGTGTGCCGAAGGGGCACGCAGAGCCCTCTCTGTTGGCACGCGATCACCCCAGCAGCTGTGCACATATTCGGAAAGATTAAGGGTGCCAGGCAATGACGTCACTCATTAGCCGCGACTCCCCAAGCTTTCGCATGGCCGGTCAGTGAGCTGCCAGGGATTTCCTTGGACTGTGATTTTAGCAGAAGGTAGGAAAGGTAGGAAAGACACTCAGCTAGGAAATGCACTCAGATGCCTTTTCTAGGACAGGCCAAAAGCTGGTGGCCAGTGGAACGTTGCCCCCTTGTGCTGGTGGTCAGCAAATTCGGGTTTTCGTGCAGTGTTGGCAATTTGTCATAAGTAAGTGGATTCTGAGTTGCAGTTTGGGCACTTGGTCTCTAAAAGGTTCGCCATCACTGGTGTAGGTTGTCACCGAACGGTGGGTTCCTGTTGAATAGTGGCTTATCGGTAACAAAAAATAGTACCTTAACCATGAACTATGAAAGCACCATGGTTTGTAGTTGGGCTGTAAACTGTGGTTTGTTAGTATAGCTGGAATCAAAAAACATGGCAGCATTTCCAAAACAACTCACAGCACAGTGACAACTCACACTCAACCCATACTCAGCCCTTGAGTGTTGGCTATTATTTTGTCTGAATCCAGTCAATATGGCCAACTTCTAAGAGGTGTGTACGGGGCAGTCTGACACCCTCATGAGAAGTTGGACTTCAGTTCCCAAAATCCTTGGGCAGCTGGAACTTGACGAACACCTGCTCTCAGGAAGATGGAGAGAAGCTGGAATGGAATATCCTGGAAGATGTGAAGAAGTTCCCTTCCTGGTTCCAGCTGGGAGAGGCGGAGATTGGAAAATGGCTTGGAGCCAACCTGGCTTGGATCTCAGGGAACTTACGCTGTAGTTGGCACAGGTGGGGTTGAAGGCGTTGGTCCCGCAGACGAAGAGCATGTCATCGTTACGCAGAAGCAGCACTTTGATGAAATTCCGGCATTCTGCCTGGGGGGAGAAGTAAAGCAACGAGAGCTGCAAAGTGGAGGCCCAAGAGTTCATGGCATTACGTTGGGCCGAGAGGGAGATGTGCTAGGAGCTCCAGCACCTCTGGGCTCTTGGAGCCCTTCTGTGGGCAGCCCTCCCAAAGGGCCAGATCCGTGCGTTGCAGTGTTGGCATCTACCTGTCTCCTTTATAGAGCACAGGCTGCTTCTTCCTCAGCTAAAAAGTTTCTTCTGCATCTGCCTGCAAGAGCATCTGGATAAAGGTGTTCCTTAAAGGCTTGGGCTGAAGCCTGGGCTGGATTTGCCCTCCTCTTCCGCCTTGCAGCTTGCTTACAAACCTGTAAGGTAGCCTGTGGTGTGATCTCTAAGTGTCTCGTGGGAGAGGTGAGGCTGGCCTGACCTGGCAGTGTGACTTGCCCCAGTGCCACCTGGTCTGCCCGCGTGGCATTTGAACTGGAAGCCTTCCAGTGTGCAACAGTCTTTTAGCCATTACACGAGCAGTGGGAAGCAGACGAGCCAAGACACTAATGAATACATAATTGTGCACTTTCTGCATGCAAGTCTGGGATCAAGGCCCTCCAAGCAAAGCATTTCGCTCCCCGTCACATTTCCACCCACCCCTGGCACCTGCTCGAGTGCAGATCTTTGTGTTTCTATTGTAGGTTTTCATGGTCTCTCGGCAATCTCCCATCCAAGCACCCTTTTTTCTCCCTGTTTCCATGGTTTCGAGCAGGCCAGAGCGGAGAGGAAGAAAAACAACTCTTTGAGGAGCTGGGTTGGGTGGGTTTTTCCTCCCCCCACACCACCCCAGTTCCCAGTTTTCTTTGGAAATCATGACTTCTGCCAATCTGGAAGGCTGGAAAGGCACCATTTCAAGACTGAGAGCGGGAAGCAGCCCCAAAAATGAAGAAGGGGCCAAGAAAACACAGGAGCTGCTGGTGACTTTTGTTCTGGGCTGGAGGGGAGCTCCGCGTCGTGTTCCATGGTGGCGAACCTACTTTGGGGATGGAGCTTAGCACAACAGATCGATCCTACAGAGCTCAGCATAAAAGCTGCCATGGAGCAAGAATCCCACGGATTCCGGGATCCCATGGAATACATTAGCCTTCCCTGCAAAGACCAGTTCCTGATGTCACAGGTGGGAGGGCCAGCTGGCTGCTATCCCAAGTAGCCAGCTAGAGGCTTCTCTGAACCAGAGTATCTCCACCATGGACGGCTCCCCCTAAAGTTCTCCACTGAGAGATTTCCTATGTTGCAAAGCAGTCGGTGTGCTCCCATCTCCTGTTATCTTTCCCCCCTTTTCCCTACAGTGGAGCTGCAGTTCAAGGTGTAACTGAGGAATGGGGAATTACAGGCCACCAGCATCGCTGGATGGCCACACCCCCTTCCCCTCCCCTCACTCTGTGCTGGTCTTTTCAGTCATGATCACTGGATAGTTTTCTGGCTTTTCATATTTCTTAAAACGCTGCAGGTCCTAATAGGAAGAGTTCCGAGTAGCAATTTGCCAGCATGTTTTGTGTTCGGGGTCCTGTCCAGCGCTGGAATGCTGCTCGGGAACTTGGGGATTCAGCCCCTGGCCGAGAGACGCTCCACACCCCTGGTGGCTCCTGCTGAGATGCAGACAGGACTAGCTGGGGAGCCTGCATCCCATCCCCATGTGGATCACAGAGCTGCACATGGATCTGGGCATCCAAGGATGCTCTCCAGTTGTTTTAGCCTGCACAAGCTCCATCATCCCTGAGTGATGGGAGTTGCAGTGGGCATACTGGAGAAGCATCTGGAGAGATTCCACTCCCACCCAACTTAGTCACGGGGGTGGGCACAGCTTGTCTGAACAGATTAGAGAAGCTACAGAGGGAAGAGATGGAGATAGGAGGACCCTCTGAGCATGTACAGAGTGTTTTCATGGCTGAATAGCTACAGTCGACACAAGACATTGGGAGCGGGATGAAGTACAGGGAATACACATTTAGAAGATGGAACCCTGCTTCTCCCTCTCCTGACCCACACCCTTCCCTACTCTTCATCTTTCCCTGCCTCTGGGAAAACTTCTCTGGATGGCAGAAATTGGAGCCCCTTCCCCAGAGAGTTGCACAACGTTTCTTGCATTTACTTCCCTTCTAGCTGCCTGCAAACATTTTACATCAAATGTGATTTATTAGGAGACTCATATAATTGGTTTTGTAATTAATTATTTCCGGTCTGTTGATCGGAACAGTCATCTCATAATCGGTGCAAAATCCAATTTCCAGATTCTATTAACGCCTCCCTGGGCTGCATACACTGCAGAACCACCAAAACCTCTTGGGGGGCCCCCATCGGACTGAGGACGGGAGCCTAAAGGCTCCTGGGATCTCAGGGGGACTCACAGTTGCAGCTGAGAATGGGGATGTGTGAACACTGTGCAGCTGAGCTAAGTGAATGCGGAAGACACCTTAAGCTCAGCTGAAAATGCCTCCATCCAGCTATTTAAAGTGGAGCATTCCAAGCCCATGGCTCCAGCATTGGCAGGGTGCCGTATCCACTCTGGGCTCTGGCCTGAATGGCAAAGGAGCGATCCGTGGTCCTGAACATGAGCAGAACAAGGCTTCAGCACCAGGGAGAGCTCATTAAGATACGGAGCCAGGCAGAGAAGGAATTCAGCACCAAGGGCAGTTCCTAAAATTCAGACGAACCTGGATCCCTCACTATTCCAACTGTGCTTCCAGAGCACCATCAAAGCCCAAATGGTCCAGAAGGACCTCGTTTTACAGGCATCAACACTGACAAAACGGCATTGTATAAGTACTGTGTTCCCCTGAAAATAAGACCGGGTCTTACCCTAATTTTCACTCCAAAAGATGCACTAGGGCTTATTTCCAGGTGATGTCTTATTTTTTCATGTGCAACTATCTACATTTATTCATTTATTCATGCACAAAATCTACCTTTATTCATGTATAAAAATGTACATTTATTCAAATACAGTCATGCCATCTTCTTCTGGAACATGGTTATAACTCTCCAAACCCCAAATTGTGTTGCAATGAACACACTAAATGTATCTGTTTGGGTGACAACCTTAACTGGGGCTTATTTTTGGGGTAGGGCTTATATTACGAGCATCCTGAAAAATCACGCTAGGGCTTATTTTCGGTTTAGGTCTCATTTTCGTAGAAACAGGGTATCTGATGATACATAGCAGCAAACACCAGTCCTTCTACTGCCTGAACCTTTTGCCATTTTCTATCAGAACTGCATGCAATTTGCTTACCTCATGTTTTCCCTTCATCCGACAAATATTGATATCATGCTGGTTTGAGGTCCATGTTAGTTTCTGTGTCCAAAATGACAAAGGGGAATCAAATAAAAAAGAGTGGCAAAGATGCGCATGGGAACAACCACACAAACCACCCTGAAAAATGATGCCTCCATGTGGTTCAGGAATCTCCAATCCACTCCCTCGAAAAGGTCTGGACCTGTGGCTGTTCTTAAAGAATCCACAGGCAAAATGATGAAGTAAATGTAACAGGTACAAATATCACGGGTGAATTTCCAGGCCAAGGGAGTGAGACTTGGGGAGAAGAAAGGAAGTGGAAGGATCCCACCTCTCTGAGGGCCAAATCTGGGGGCTGGAGGTGCCCCACCCTTGCTGTAAAAGGACCAGCATGTATAAGAGATGCACCATGCCAAGAATTCTGGGAGAGCTACATTTATTTTTTAATTTGCATGTAGCTTTTTCTGGCGCTGGCTGGGAGCTCCTTTGCTCGATTACCAGGAGAAGCTGGCGACTGAAAAGTCAGCAGGGGTCCCTTCTCCATTGCAGTTTTTATTTTGAGCTTCATAGGAGTTATTCATGATGTCCCATGGACGAGCTATTCTGAGGATGGAGTTAAGCACCACGGGCAGCCCTCACAAAGCTCAGTATAAAAGCTGCAGCGGATCAGAGCCCCGGAGACAGACAAATCATCAGCATTCCCTGTGTAATACTTTTACATCTGTGCACACGCACATGCTCATATACACATTACACAACAAATTATAATACAAACCAGGCTTAATGGAGATTTAATAGAGAAATCCACTCTGGTGTGGTTTGGAAAATCCAGGTCCTAGTGCACCTTTTGGTCACAAAGCTCACTGCGTGACTTTGGGCCAGTCATTCAGTCTCAGCCTGGCCTACCTTACAGGGTTGTTGTGTGGACTAAACAGAGAAACAGTGAGGGCTACCTAAGATGCTTTGGATTCCTTGAAAGAGGGCAAAAAGGCAGACTATAAATGGAATCAGCCTCAGCATAAGCGGAATTACAGCTACCTGCTTGAATTTTCCACTTACCCGATGGTAGCGCATTTCGCTGGCAGAGGCAGGCTCCAAACTTATGCGGTACAAATTATCCCTAAGCAGGACAGGGAGGGGAGAAAGAAACAAAGTCAGTGGAGTGCCCAGGAAAGAGAAACAGCCTTTGCTTTCTGAAACTTGCAGAGTTTTTCCACAACGTTACAGTTTTTAAATTTTAACAGCACAGCAGTACAGTCCCTGGATCTTGAGATTAATCTGGAGGGCCAGTGTGGTGTCGTGGTTAAGAGTGTGGGACTGGGACTCGGACGATCCGGGTTCGAGTCCCCGCTCAGCCATGGAACCAGCTGGGTGACTTTGGGCCAGTCACCGACTCTCAGCCCAGCCTACCTCACAGGGTTGTTGTTGTGGGGATGAGATGGAGGAGAAGAATGACGTAAGCTGCCTTGAGCCCTTTGTAGGAAAAAGGCAGGGTATAAATCCAAAAATAAATAAATAAAAAATGTAAGCTGCCTTGAGCCCTTTGCAGGAAAAAGACAGGATAGAAAGCGAAAAATAAATAAAATAAATAAATAAATAAAAATCACGTGTTGGGCCTGATGGCCTGCAGTTCATGTATCCACATACTCTGTTTCTATACTGCCTAACAGCCAGAGCTCTCGGGACAGTTTAGAAAGACTGAAACCTTTAAAGTATAATATAAAAACCACATGCATACCGACATGTAAAATTGCAACTCTGAAAGAATTTATTTTTTTTTAAACTGTTAACAAGAACAAGACTGAATCAAGGCTTCACTAGATGCTGCTGAATGTCTGTGAGAATGTCTGTGAGTCTTTCAGATGCTGCTGAAAGACTGAGCAAGGTGGGTGCCAGGTGGGTGCCAGGTGGGTGCCAGGTGGGCCGCAATGAGGAGGTCGTTTCAGAATTGGGGTGCCACCACTGTGAGATCTTTCCCCCTTTGCTTCTTTTCAGGTCTGCCTTGGAGGAGCCACCTGGAGGAAGGCCTTAGGAGACGAACATCTTTTATGGCTAGGTTCTGCTTGGAGAAATCTTTGTCAGGTGTAGCAGATCTGAGCCATGGTTCTCCAGGGATACAGGCATGGCCGAAACTCAGGCCCTTCTACATGCTTAGTGAGGGATTTACCATCAGGCCCCGCACATGTTCATCTTGTTATTTGTATCTATTCCATTATCATCATCATCATCATCATCATCATCATTATTATTATTAATAATAATAATTTTTATTTATTAAAAACTTTTCTATGCCTTCCACCACTAGCATCTCGGGATGGCTTACAATGAAAAATGATTGTAATAAAAATAACATATTATTGCACTGATATCCCAGCATTTTCTCTCTTGCAGGGCAACCAAGCTGGAAGAGATGGTCCTCCCATCCATTTTACGCTCCAAACAACCCTGCAAGGTAGGTTAGGGTGAGTATCAGGGACTTTCCCATAGTTGCCCAGTGACCCTTCTGACTGAGAACTAGAACAACACTAGAACCACCTCACATGGGCTTCTAGTACTCATGGTTCTCATAAGCAAAAAGGTTTATGAGAACCAAAAAAATCCTTCTCATTATGTTTTACTGCACTGAATGGCAGCAGTTCTCCAGGGTTCCTTTCCCATTCATGCCTTGAGATATCAGAGATGAAAACTGGGTCCTTCTGCAGTCAGAGGTGCTCTACCTCCAAACGATGCTTCCCTTAAAAGGACAATAAGATTCTAGTCCTCATGAAGTAAGAGCTGATTGAAACAGGAACACAAGCTTCCTCATAACTAGTTGGATGATCTGTTTGTAATAACTGGAAAAAGATATTTGTGGTTTCAGACCCTGGAATCTTTCCCAGTCCTAACCAGAGAAGTTTAGAATTGAACCTGGGACTGTCAGCATGAAAAGCCAGGGCTGGGACTGCTCCCATCTCCCACTGCCAGGTTTGAATGTTTCAGGCCCAGCTCCTAAGCAACAGGCAAAATAAACTGCGATGATTCATGGGGAGCATTTGCTCCAGGAGGCCAAATGCATCTCACGCCCGCCTGTCCTTCTTTAAAGTTTGATACATCCCAATTAAAGCAAGCAAGAGCTTCTCCACTGGGGATAATGAATAAATATGTTGTCTGCACTTCCAAGGCTTCCCATCTGGGGAAATGTTCCCTGGAATAGGATTGATTCCAGCATCACAGAATAGCTTGCAAGCTTTTGCGCTCACCAAGAAATTCTTTTTCTCCCAGGGGCACAAATTAAGCCAGGAAGGGAGTGGTGTGGAAAGAAAAATGCAGCTGTCCTGATCGAAACCAAAGTCCATGCTTTACACAATGCTAAGCCAGAATCAAGGAGCCCCTTCTGCAGGCGGTAATCTACTGGGAAGTGTTGCTGCAAAGCATGCTGGGACAAACACTCTCCTCTTGCAAACAGAAAAGCTTCCTGCTATTCGAACCCCCTCCCAAATACAAGATCCTTGCTTAGTTCCCTGTTTGCTGAGGGGAGAAGAAGGGGCTTTCTCCCCAGTAATGCCAAAGCCTAGCAAAGCAATGCGCAATCTCAAATCCACCCCTGCCGCCCTGCCCGGGGTCCCAAATCCAGCAACCCTGGAACGTCATGTTGTGGAATCCCAGCTTTCATGCAAATTCCTCCCATTCTCAAAAGTGCAGATTCCTCCCCAAAGCGTAGTTACTAGAAGGAAGAGCTTTGAATACCACATGCTGGTATTCTGGGGAGTTTCAGCCCCGCCCCTCTCTCCTCTGGCCTTGCCCACCTCTGGACAGTGGTCCCTGGGTGTTTCTCTGAAATGAATCCCCCACCCTGGCCTGGGGATTCTACATCAGTCAATGGGCAGAGGTAAGTCAGGGTGAAATTTCCTGGGGCTTAGCTATGGTGGAATGGTGAGCCTCCATTCTTAGAGGCAGTGTACCTGAGAAGGACAATTGGTAGGCAGGGTGGGCTGACCCTGCCTTATTGGGCTTCCATACCCTGTTTGCAGGCTTCCCAGGAACACCCAGCTGTACATGAAGGGATAAAAGGATGTTGCACCCTATGAAATCCTCTCGGTCTAATCCTGGAGGGTCCATTAAAATCGATTCATTACCTGGTCTATTCAGAAATGGCCTTGGGTTTGCCAAATGAGTCCCAGCTCATTTTTCTAAGGCAGCTGAATTGCTGTCTTTGCAAACTCTTCTCTTTGAAGTGACTAGCAACAGCGGTGGGGAGGGGAAATGCAAATTTGCATCTGGTGGATGTGTCAGATGAGAGTTCCATTTCTCTGCCTGGGTTGGATCGTCTAGAAAAGTGGGTTGGCTCCCTTCCACAAGGGGGAATGGGGTGTGACCATCCTGGAACCCAGGGTAGTCTGGCTTTGGTTCTGGGGCCTGTGTCCTTCCAGTGGGGTTCTTCACTCCTGGTGCCAGAAAAGCTCCGCCAAAATTCATTTGCCCTTGAAGGCTTGTGAGATTTAAAAGAGAAGATCCTCTCCTATCAATCCTCCAGGACTTTTGCCTTGGATTTCAGTGGGGCCCCTCATTCACTGCAGCCATTCTCCTGAGCTCTGAGCATTGTTTGTGGTGCTGAATGCCATCCTCAAAAAGCATTTTGCCACCATGAAATGCCATGAAATGCCACCAGGTGAAACTTGCAATGTAGAAGGGAACTTCGATGCAAGAAGTCTTCCTTCCTCATCTCCTCCTCCTCCTGACTTCTACTTGCTTGATGGGTAGACAGAGTGCCAAAGAGCCAGGAGCCATGGCATGTTTCTGTCTTCTCGCCATTGCGGCTGTTTGGACACGACAGGCAAGCTGGTGGGCAAGGAGGGGGCAACAGGAAAGAGCAGAAGGGGCTTTTGCCAGAGTCCCTGATCAAAGCTATCCTTGATACTGAGTGGGGGACATGGAAGCCACTGCCTAAGAAAAGCAGCACATATGAAAATGGTGATCACCTTTCCCTGCAGCTTTTCAGCAGAGATGTTTCCTGCCTCTTATTTCATGCTGGGATAAAAACCCTCTCCTCTCCTCTCCTCTCCTCTCCTCTCCTCTCCTCAAGTGATTACCACCCAATGGCCAAGCTCTCTGGGTAGTTTACAAAGATTACAAATGCAGAGTCAACCCCATGCACATACAGATGTAAAAAGATATGGCACATGGAGAGACAGCCCCATGTCTAAAAGCAATTCTGAACAATGAGCGAGGGCTCAAATGCAAGACCTGATTAGAAACCTCGTCATATGTTGTCGAACGCCTGAAAGAAGCAAAGATCGATCATTTCTTCCCCTGGGCTGACAAGACAATAACAACAGCGGCAGCAGCAACAACAGAGGAGCTTTGTGGACAAAGAATGACAATCCTGCCACATGTCGACACACATCATGCTCAAGGCACATGGTGTCAGCCCACACTTGTCCCCTACAGATAGCCAGAACCCTACGGGCTCTTTGGAAAATGCTTGTTTGGAAGTTCCATGTAAAAACATGGCTGGACTTTCTGGCACCCCCTGGGGATTGGCGAATCCATGAAGCTTGTGGTCCCTGAGATTGCCTGAGCTGTGCCTTGATGCTTAGACAGCCTCTCTCTGGTTTTTACTTGCACTTTCCCCCAGAAGTCTCCCAATTGTCCACTTTCCCCCATAGAAGTGGGAATTCTTGTGCATTTTTAGAAAGCGTGCATCTTGCAAACATTTTTGCAAGCTTCGAGCCACAACTTTCTGCAAAAATGGTTCCCTTTTCATTGGCATTCAGGGTGGTGGATGGGACACGCTTGGGTCAAAGACAAAAACAAGAAATGTGGCTGTACATTCCTTGTGTTGTGGTTCGGATCGATCCACAGCATGGTGCATACAGCTTTGCACTGTGGGGGGAATTCAGACCGAAGTATTGGAGGGGACTGAGAAGGAAGGACTCCCTGGAGAAGACCCTGATGCTGGGAACAACAGATGGGAAAAGAAGGAGGGGACGGCAGAGGATGAGGTGGCTGGATGGGGTCACTGGGGTGGTGGGTGTGGGTTTGGGTGGACTCTGGGGGATGGTGGAGGACGGGAAGGCCTGGAGGAATGTTGCCCATGGGGTCGCGATGGGTTGGACACGACTTCATGACTAACAACAACAA